TACTGTTAATTCATAATGTTTGTGCCAAGGCAAGCTGTCGTGTAGTGTCCTGTTCATCGGTGGAATTGTACGTCAGGTTTCAGGGTAGTTCGATATCCTTTAGACCGGCAATGCATATGTTTACATAATCTAATTAGATATATCTACACACAGATATGCTTACCTATATGTGTATGCATGTCCGCAGATATGTATGTTTACATGACAAGGTATCTTTATTTCAGTTACTGCAATAGTTTTGTTTTTCATTTTCTTTAAAAAAAAAATACTCTTTTTAGGAGTAACTTAAATTTTATATTATTCATTTCGTATTAATTTCAATTTTATATTATAAATTTGTAACTAATTAATTAATGTAACCACAATTCTATATAGCTTCGAACACATTTTACTTGCTTATTTTGTAGCTTTCTGTTGAGGATGTGTTACTAGTAATAATTAATAGAAAACCTACATGAATTCTCCGAGTAAGCATCATATATCAGACTGAGAGTGTATTTTGCTTAACGTCTCTCTTACAAGGAATTTGAATCTTTCAAATACACTTTTTTGAAAAACGCAAGCAACATGAATTAGTACTTTTAAAGTGGAAATCCAATAGAGTGTTTACAGTGTGTCCCGCAAATAATTCAGATTTCTTTAACTCCTCTTCCAATGTGCACATAAATAAATATGAAGAACTGGACAGCAGAAAATAGAATAACACGATCATTAAAAATAAATACATATACATACATACATATATATATATATATATATATATATATATATATATATATATATATATATATATATATATATATATATATATATATAAATATATATATATATATATACACACACATATATATATATACATATATATATATATATATATATATATATATATATATATATATATATATATATATATATATATACATACATATAGATGGATAGATAGATAGAAAGATATAGATATATATGTATATGTATTCCCCGCGACCATGAGGGTCGGAGTCCAGTGCTCTAACCACTGGACCATCGCGGCAGTCATATATATATATATATATATATATATATATATATATATATATATATATATAGATAGATAGATAGATAGATAGATAGATAGATAGATAGATAGATAAATATAGATATTTCTCTCTCGCTATTTCTGGATAGTGCAGTCCTACCTATCAAGATACTCTTCGCCAGTTATTCCATCCTCCCTATAGGCTGCCTGCAGGCAATCTCCCCACCTCCTTTACCCTCCCTTTCCCTAATCCATTCTACCTTTTTTTTCCCACACATTCCTCCTCTCTTCTCATCACGTGACCGTATCATTTCAACCGTCCCCTCTGTATTTTCTTTGATATTTCCAATACTTTAATAATTCCACGAATTCTATAATTACCGATTACTGTGAAGTCTCGTAACTTCGTACATCCACCTCAACAAACGCATTTCTGTCACATCAAGTCTCCTCTCCTGGTCCTCTTTAATCGACCACGCGTCTGGAACGTGTAACATCTCAAATTAATGCTGGTAATAGAATACACATTTATGTCGTAATAAACCCTATTTTGATAATCGATTGTCATAAGACGACAAGGTACGTATGACAATAAATCTTGCTTATATCATAACGGTAATATTACACATTAAGTACATCTAAATCTGGTGTAGCAACCCTACGTTTATCGTCATAGCATCAGTTGTAAAGGCGGTCGCCGCTATATGTATTTCTTTAATAAAATACAGCAATAATAATGTAGGTGACGGTTCAATTAACGTTTGATAATTTGTCAAAAGAGGCCTAGAAGCATTTCTCATTATTTCCAAAGATGAATCGTCTTCAGCAGATGAAAATTTTCATAAATACTAATTAAATGCAAACCATACGCGTTAGGGGAAAATTAAAGACAGTGAATAGAAAATATAAATAAAGTTTAAATAGAGACATAATTAAGACATAAGATTTTTTGTTTTATCATCTTCAAATTTTGCCTGTCTGAGATATTTTCGTGGAGAGTCATGGACAAATTTGCCAAGTCAAACATATGAAGATATTGTCAACCACTGATTGATCCGTTTTCTACATATTTGCAGCAATTTTCTATTCTAAAGTACCAATGACGCCGCGCGGCTCCACAACTGGTAGCCCAAATTTTAGTTGAATATATAAATATTGTAACATTTATGGCAGTTTCAACAAATCACTGCATCAATTATCGTCACAGTCTATAACGATGTAGTTTTTTTATTATCATTATTAGCTTTGAGATGTGGCAAGAGGGGCTTTTTTAGTCTAAGACAAATCTCGGAGTCTAAGACCATTCGTGAACACGACCTCTGCCCCGTACAACATTGTTGGTCTCTCCAACGTCCTGTATAAGTTTCCTTTAATTCTCACACTAATATTCTTATCATAAAGAACTCCTGACACATTCTTCCAGTTTCTCCAGCCAGACTGTATCCTGTGACTTATTTCTTGTTCCAGTGCCCCATTTGATGACAT